TATAGGATTTTTAGTGGCTGATTTTTCAGAGTCCATCACCAGCCTTTCTTCCCTGGTCTTGGTGCCCACTAGTAAAAGAATGGAAGGAGATCAATTGGTTCTGTGACTGGAGTCTTGAGTAGTGATTCCCAGCCATGGCAGGGGAATAGGGATAATTTGGGAATTGCTGTGTATTGCTACAGAATCAGAACATGGAGACAAAAGAAAATTTTGCAAAACACTGGTATAAAGAGGACATAATAAGCCAAGTAAGAAAGAGAAATCCTAAAAGCTGTATGATGTAAATCCTAAAAGAGCTGTATGATTATTGAAATCTTATCTTTCTAATGTCTCTGGTTTCAGATTGCCTGTTTGGTACCTGTGGATCAGTTTCAGCTTTATCAGCGGTTAAAATTTGAACGAGGTATGCACTCTCCTTTTTATCCTGATGGTTAATGTGGTTTCACATGTGTCATCTTTACACTGACCTGCGTGGAAGATTAAGACAGCTGTGGGCTGTCAACAAAGCCACAAGGACACCCTGGAAGGAGAAAGCTTTAATTGCAACATAAAATGTCAGCTATCCACAGCCAGAAAAAATGCAGACTAGCAGGAAATAGAATTTTCCCTCTGTTGGCTCTTATGTCTTTTTAATTTGGCTCATGTGAAAGAGTTCTTTAAAAAAAAAAAAGAAAAAAGGTTGGTTTTACAATAACAATAAAACAAAAGAAGTTAAGGAGCCCTGGTTGCACAGCAGCTAAGCTCTCAGCTACTAACTGCTTCTCCCAAGTGCACCTCTCCTGTCCCGTAATATCCAGCTGCCTTCCACTCCTGCTGCCACATCCATCAGAAGCAGGACTTATTCCAATTGTTTACATTTTAGAGGACATAATTATTAGCTTAGGGAGCACCCATGGCACAAAGGTTAAATGCTTGGCTGCCAGCCACAACTTGGCAGTTGGAACCCACCCAGTGGCTCCACAGGAGAATGACCTGGAGATCTACTTCCCAAAAGACCACAGCCTAGAAAACCCAATGGGGCAGTTCCAGGGAGTTGCTATGATTTGGAATCAAGTCTATGATGCCTAACAACAACAATTATTAGCTCAAATGTCTTTTTTAATTAGTCAAAGTTTAATATTTTGAGGAATTCAGATGTTTTTGTGGATTGGTTCTCACTGTGGAATAGAAAATTTCAATTTATTCTTAAAATGGTGGCTAAAAGCCTGGTTTGAATTTGTAGGCATCCACCACTTGTCTTTGTTGATGGGAAAGTTCCTTAAATTATCTGCACCTCAATTGCTTCATCTGTAAAATGGGGATAATAATAATCCGTATACCATAGGAGATGGAACCCTTATAGTGCAGTGGTTAAACTGCTTGGCTGCCCACCAAAAGCTTGGTGATTCTAACCCACAAGCTGCTCCACAGGAGAAAGCTGTGACAGTCTGCTTCCATAAAGTTTACAGCCTTGGAAACCCTATGCAGTAGTTCTACTCTGTCCTACAGGGTTGTTATAAGTCAGAATCCACTCAATGGCAATAGGTTTGGTTATATGTATACCTTAGATTCGAGATGAGGATTAAATGGATTAATAAATCTAAAGTTATGTAGAAATGGTTGAATACATGCCAGTGGTCTTCTTCTGTATGTTTTCACCACAGTTCTTCTAAAAAAATGAAAAACAACAGCAACTTATTGAGTGTTTCCCATGTCTCAGACACTGTTCAAAATATTAGCATTTGTTGGCAATAAAAACACTGACAGCTTAAAAGTAGAAAAAAGCATATACAGTATTTTATTCTTTTTTTTTTTTCTAAGATGAAGTAATCATAACATTCTTCAGTAAAATCCTCATTTTTAAATATATGGTATGATTGTCTTGCTGTCAGTGGGACTGGAATACACATGAAGTGATCGATCATATCTACCTTTTCTGTAGGAATAGCCTTGACATGGGTGAGGGACACATGGGAAAGTCATGGGTCAAGACTTTTCTTTCCTACATGGTGCTTTGGATAAATATCACCAAAGTTTGCTTTGTGAGTTGGACTTTTTGATATTCCTTTAGTAGTCACCCCTGTTTATTTCTTTGTTAGACATGATAATATATTCAGTCTGGTTGCAGTCATGTTTAGGCTGGGTTCATGAACTCGTGGTTTAGGTTCCATGAATAGATGATGGTTTTATAATTCTTGTTTTATAGATGAAGAAACTGAGAATTGTAGAGGATGAGACTTGCCTAGGTTCCCATAGACTGTGTCTAAGTTTTGTTTTCTATAAACAAATTTAAACTCTATAATTTAAATAAAAATTTAGTGAGACATTTTGCTGCCATAAACTGTTGAAGCATATTAAATTTGGAGACTATTTAGCCCCAATTTTACTTCCCCTTTTTATATAAAAGGAAACTGAGGCACAGAGACATTTCTGTCTTTGGTGATTTTCAAAGGTAATTTGTAATCATGTAATTCTTTGTCACCATCCATTATAAATATCAATTATTTTTGGAAAATTCCAAGTAAGAATAATTTTTAGAATAAGAATAAGGTAATATAGTGCTTCATAATAGAATTTACTTAATTGAGATAATCTTATCTAAATTGTGTATTTTATTTTTACATTTCCTATCTTCCTATTACCAGCTGGTGACTTTGAGCTTTACGTCATGATAACATTATATGTGGATCTGTTTATAAGGGAATAGGGATACAAACAGTTTGTGTTCAGCTGCCAACCCAAAGGTGGGAGGTTTGAGTCTACCCAGAGGTACCTTGGAAGAAAGTTCTGGTGATCTACTTCTAAAAAGTCAACTATTGATGGCCCTATGGGAGCACAGCTTACTCTGACACACATGGGGTCACCATGAATTGTAATCTACTCAATGGCAACTAGTTTTAATATTGTGAATGGAATAAATGACTAAGTGACAGAAGAAATAACTCCTTGGCTAAATTGTAGAGATTGTTGTTTCTCTGGAAAAATGTAGAATCCTATTAGAGACAGACCTATACCTTAGTTATAAAAATCTTAGTTTTGCCTAATTCTTAATGCCTATCAAGTTCTTTTCTCTGTCTTCAGTCTGTGTGGTAATTGCCCTCTGCTTTATATTACTTACATATTTGATAAGCTTGCCTTTATGTCATTATCTTCATGTAAATGTTTAAAGGGAGGAAAAGTATTGTGAATAGGAATGGGCCCAAATCATCACTCTGCTTTCACAAAACAGAGAAACACCATTTGGCATTGGTTGGTTAATCTAGGAATCCACTTTCCATCTGTCTGAGTTTTCCATTGGTTACTGCTTTATTCGTGGCTTTCCCTTTCTGTGTCAGTCTTCCAGTATTAACAGAGAAAAAAGGCAGTGCTAAGTTTAACATGTGTTAATGATCACTGCAATACTTTCTAATGGTTCTAAAAGCAAGTGTCTGATGATTAATGCTAGAATTTTGTTTGTCTCTTATTTTCAGAATCTATTTTTTTCAATAGGTTAAGTTTATCCATCTCTAGTTCTTAAGCACTTTACCTGTTTACGTGACCTTGTTTTACTTACTGCAACTGCAAAAAAAAAAAAAAAAAACCAAATGCACTGCCGTCAAATCGGATCCAACTCATAGTGACCCCTCCTCGGGTTTCCCAGGCAATATCACTATGGAAATAGATTGCCCAGCCTTCCTTTTGAGGAGTGGCTGGTGGGTTTGAACCGCCAGCCTTCTGGTTAGGAGTCAAATGCCTTAGGCACTACACCACTGCAACTGCAAGTTGGCTTCAATTCCTTAGCAGGTTAATTTTTCTGTTCCTGGATATTTGTGGGAGCTCTGGTGGCGTAGTGCCTAAGGCATTTGACTGCTAACCAGAAGGCTGGCAGTTCCAGCCTACCAGCCACTCCTCAGAAGGAAGATGGGGCAATCTACTTCCATAGTGATACCCCCTTGGAAACCCAAGGAGGGGTCGCTATGAGTCTGATTGGACTCAACAGCAGTGAGTTTATATTTGTATTACCATGTTGTTGTTATTGTTATGTGCCATCGAGTTGGACCCGACTCATAGTGACCCCTTCTTGGGTTTCCGAAGTGGTATCACTACGGAAGTAGATTCCCCAACCTTCCTTAGTAGTTTTAAAAACCAAGAACAATAAACCAAATCCCTTACTGTTGAGTTGATTCCAACTCTTGGCAACCCCATGTGTTGTAGAGTAGAAATGAGCTCCATAGTGTTTTCTTGGATGTAATCTTTGCAGAAGTCAATCACAAGGCCTTTCTTCTGTGGTGTTCTGTGTGTGTTCCAACCACCAACCTTTTGGTTGATAGACAAGAGCAAAACGCTTGTCCCTCCCGGGAACCCGTGTAGTGATTAGGAACACTTATAAATGGTTCAAAGGTCGTGTTGTTCTCCTTCATATAAATCAGAATTTGTTTTCCCATTGTTAGGTTAACCCTACATCATTCATTTGTGTATTCGATACGTACTTATTTCTGTACTGTCTGTCTATGAGTATCTGTCATGTGCCAAGTACAATTCCAACTGCTGCTTCAAGCTATGGCTCCCTCTTTCTTAGAAAGCCCTTTTGTTCTCAGGATTTTTCACAGTCCCCCTTTTATTCAGAGTCTTAACATTTATATTATGGTTCTTAGAATTTCATCTTGATCTTTTTCAATTTGTTCTTGGTTAAATGCTCCTACCCCATTATTTAAAGTATCTGAGCATTAAAGATTATCTTCACCAAGCTCCCTGGGTAGTTGTTTGGTTTCTTTTAGTGTTTTTTGTTCTTTTGAAGACTGTGGAATACTTGTCAGTATTTTACTTTTTTTTTTCAATACCTCTCATCTCTTAGTCATCTTCCTTTTCATGGTTACTGGTCACAAGCCCATTCTTATCTTTGGTGGCTATTTTTTTCCCCTTAGTTTTTGAGCCTGCTTTTCTTGTGTTTCATGGTAAATGTGTGACTAAGTCTAGGGTTTCCTTCCTAAACAATTCTGTGCTTTCAGATGATAACACTTTCTCCTCAGCTTCATGCTTCCTCTACTTCACCAGCCAGTTCTTTCTTGTTGACCAGTGGTTTTTTTTTGTTTTTTTTTTTAATCATTGTTAATTGTGGTAAGTATATATGTAATAAAACATTTGGTCCTTCAACAATCTTCACATGTACAGTTTAATGATACTAATTATGTTTGTGTTGTTTGTTGACTAGTTTTAAAATACCTTCTAGATGTTTTAACTTCCTTGTGAAAGAGTGAAGTGTTTGCTAGAAAAGACTTAAATTTGTCTGTCAGCAGGTAGGGTGAGATTTTGATTGATGTTTGAATTATTGTGTTGGCGGAGAATATGAAATGTACCATGGATTGCCAGAAGAATGAACAAATCTGCCTTGGGAGAAGTACAGCCAGAATGCTCCTTAGAAGTGAACATGGCAAATCTTCGTCT